AAAGCAACAGAATTCAGTGTTCCGCTAGTTTTAGTATGCATTTGAGAACATTCGTATTCTTCAAAAAGGTAAAATAAATTAATGATATTTGAGAAAATTAAACTTAAAGTTTATGTAAATCAGCATGATTTGTGTATCAGATATAGAGCGTTTTTTGCATGACTAATTCCCCAGGGACCAACTCAACAAAAGCCATGCATGGCGGTCATGTTGGTGTTCCAGACAAAAGAGTCTAATTAAAATTCCTTTGAATTGGAACACCAACATGGCGCCTGTGACGTCATGTGCAAACGCTCTATACAAACTTCTTCACGCTTATGCTTTCCTTTGTGGTTTTTCATGAATTATTTAAATGATTTCACAATTCAACGTTAAAATGTAATTTCGGTTGTTCATGAAAGGCGTAATACGAGCTTTATTAAACGAGTCATCTCGGTTAATAGACCTTTCTCCTTTTGAGTGAAATTTTGATCTAGACGAGTCTGGACAAAAATTTCATCACAGCTTGAAAGAGCATCACAAAATTAGTGATATTCCAAAGTTTCGTTGCGAAATGTTGTAAAACGCGGATAATATAGCCTTGCGAAGTTTGCCGTTTTTCAGTCATTTTGCATTACAAACGGGAAATTGATAATCAGATGATGAAACTGAATACCAATTTCCCATTTGTAGAGGGTCCTGAAGGGGTAAAATGGGAACTGGGATTTACTTATTTCTGGGTGGGAAAATGGGATTTCATGCACTGGGACTGGGATTCATCAGCAAAAAAACAATAGAAAATGGGAATGGGATTAAGATTTCAGCAGGCCAGCCACTGAGATGATGGGATTTGTGCTCTGGGACAATGGGATTTAGTCAAAATTGGGCTGGGAAATGGGAATACGACCCCAGGACCCTCTTTGTAATACAAAATGACTGAAAAACGGCAAACTTCGCAAGGCTATATTATCCGCATTTTACAACATTTCGGAACGAAACTTCGGAATATTACTAATTTTGTAATGCTCTTTCAAGCTGTGATGAAATGTTTGTCCAGGCTTGTCTAGATCAAAATTTCACTCATAAGGGGAAAGGTCTATTAACCGGACCAGCCCGGATCCATCCTAGACGTAATTGTTGAATGGTCGCGGAATGTTTATACAGATAATTTACTATATGAATCATTTACTGTAGATCTAAATTCAACAAGCTTTATTGATCATTTACTTGTATAGTGGTGGTGTTAGCCAGTCCATTACTCACCTGTATAGGTTGTAATCAACGTTGGTAAACTTATCAAACATAATAATTCTATAAACACAAGTTATGGATCCTGGTACAAACGCGCAGAAAAATAAACGCGCAAGGTAATTCTTTTTGAACTCTCTGTAACCCCACAACATCGCGATGCATGCTGGAAACCATGAAAACAACGGCAATAATTTGACAGACTTTCCAACAATCCGTAATTTATGTACGTGCGCTGGAACACTAAGATTTTTGTCCGTCCATTCTGTACAAGCGTCATTTGAATTTAAGTCCACGTAGACGACTCCAACTGTAAGCGAACCTAATACGAAAACAACCGCCGTTATTAATCCGACATTTGCCTTCAAACTTCGGATTGATGATTCGCAGAAATTTCGCCTTGGGTCAGCTTGCATCCAAACAAACGTCCCATCTTCATAACAAGGGACCTCGGTCGGTGGCTCTTGTTCGTACTCCTGGTGTATTAAGCCGTCGTATACTTCGTCTTGTTCAAGATTTGGAGCGGATATCAACGTGTATTCGCTTTGTAGATTTTCTCGGGATATCGGTGGTGTTTGAATGATCAAACGCAAGACGAGGGCCACACAACTACCAAATAGTTCTTCTAGAATCATATCCGTTTAAAGTACGTGAATTTGTCTCATAAAAATACAGTGTACAGCAAGCCACTCATGCAAATTTAATTTATTCAGTTTTCATTTTCGCTTTGCCGCATAATATACACCTATATTGCGAAACCCGAAAGTTGAAGGGAATGGCAATATAAATTTTTATTTTCTCATTTGAAAGAACTTTTGAAACTAGCCTATATATTGACTTCTTTTACCGATTTTTCATATCTTGCTTGTTGGAAACACCTACATGGAAACACCCACCCTAGAATCGGGTTGGGAAATTTTGGCGGGAAGCACATGCGTTGTTGTAGTTGGGAGTCGAAGCGAGTGACTCAGTATCGGGATTATGTGATTTATATTATATTAAACTTCACAGTATTATTATTATTATTTTGTGAGAAATTATTTACGGAGGCTGTTTAGAGTAATTTTCTACATGCTTAATAGTTCTTGAAATATTTTCACTAGTGAAGTATAGTGAGATGTCCGCCATCTTGGAAAATTTTGATCTCATTAATGGTAGTTTTGGTGACATCACTGTGACGTGACATGCATATATACCAAATTTGAAGATGGCGGACATTTCATTCATTTCAATCAAAATATAAGAAATAGAAGTAAGCAAGATATGAAGAAAAAAAAACGGTAAAAGAGTATAAATATAGTCTTAAATGTTCTTTCAAATGAGAAAATAAAAATATATATTGCTATTTCCCTTTAAGGTTTTTACCGCACTTCCGGTTTTGAAAAATATTTGATACAGAGATGCTACAATTAAGTTATTTTACTTGAAACTTGGTAGTTGCAATGATTTGCGTTTTTGTGAAATCTACATATTAGAAATCTTGTGAAACAACATGTGTTTAGTACGGGAAGTACCACTGATAAAATCGGGCATTTTGGGGGCATTCCGCGCGATATCGCAGGTCTATTGCACCGGGTCAGATACATGTGAAAGCGGACAAACATGTGTATAATTTTCCCTTGCTTTCACACGGGACGCATGAAACTGGACGAGTTCGCGCACTGATGTATTATTTATTTATTTATTTATTTATTAACTTTACAACCATACATAAAATAGACTACATACACTACATAATATGGTTGAAGGTATGGTCAACAGGACATGAATAGCCCCATATGAAGACCAAAATGTATTAATTAAAGTTTTGCTTTGCCACCTTCTACCAAAGAAGATACTCAGTTCCTTCTACCAGTTCCTTCTATCCTCAGTTCCTTCTACCAAAGAAGATTTTCAGATCCTGGAGTTCCTCAGGGCTCCATTTTAGGTCCCTTGCTCTTCCTATTATACATTAATGATATTTCAAATGCCTCAAATCTGACAGAGTCCTTGATTTTCGCAGATGATACGAGTGTTTTTTACTCACATTCCGACCCTAACCATTTACAATATGTAATGAATAATGAATTACATAATTTTGATCTTTGGCTGAAAAGTAACAA